TCTTTCTGTTTGTGTCTCCCCCCCACTCTCTCTATAAGCCTACCTTTCAATAAATAAACCAGTCTTCAAAAAATTGGAACAAAAGCCAGCAAAGTTACATTTAGCATCCAGGGAGATTCCATTATTTTGAATCACATTTTTCTAATCATGATTTCTCTGCCACCTCTTGTTATTGTATTATTTGTACCATTGGTTCATTTTTTAAAAATTGTTTTATGACACCATATAATAGAAACTGGGGTCTTCCTTTCTAATTCTACCCCCCGCCCACTGCTCTCCCCTCCAGTCTTACAATTTTGTGAATTTTCACAAGTTCTTCATGCTGCCACTGAGGTGTCTCCCAATAATGTAGGAGATTATCACCCATTTTTCTATGAATCCATCCTTGTGGCACATGCCCAAGGACATGCTTCTCTCTGTTCATACATAGTCATTTCTCTCTGTTGAACATATTCATTTCTGCTACACTTCCATTATACATTCCCTTGAGTACAGTCCACCATGGGGTGAAAAACGGAAAAAATAGTGAACCTTCATCCGTATGAAGTCGATGAACAAGTAACAAAGGTATCAGTGTGACTCTAGGGTGGTGAAAAGGGATGTCCAGCATCTTCACATAGGAATAAATGCCAGCGTGTGTTTCGTATGGCACTAATGCAAGAATAGTAAGGACTGTTCCTTATGGGCTGTGGCAATAATTAACATCCTGAACTTGCTTTCCCTTTGTTCTGTGGAACAGCCCTCGTTAAGGTCCCTAGTGAAGGAAACTTGTTGTTGTCTGTTGTAAATCTGCCTGTGTACTTCGGGAGGCCCTGAGCATCCCACCTGCCTAGGAGGGGTGTGAGGGCTGAACCAAGATCTGAGCAGTTAGTGTTCATTCTGAACATTCTCAAATCTGAGCTTCACTTGGGACTCTGTTGTCAGTGTTGCCGATTAGTGTCCTGTGCCCCCTCTCTGGTATCTTGATGCCCGTCTTTGAGAGGTCTGATTTCACATGCTGGTCCTTGAGTCACATTGGGTTCTCTGGGCCTTCTGGCATAAAACCTGGAGTTTGGGACCAGATCAAAGTAAGGTGTCCAACGGCTCACTATGCTGTTATTTTCCATTTCCAAATCAGCCAGCAGATCTCTTATGGGAGAAATGGCATTTGTGGGACATCAACAGGGAACTTTTGCTGAACCCCTGGTTCCTTAGGCTGCAGCTTTAGCTCATCTCATTGCACATCCTGGGGAGACAGAAACACCAACCTGTTAGGGCCCTACCTGTCATGCCTGTTCTGTGAAGCCACCTCCCCTTGACCTTTTTGTGAGACAACACATTTCCAGGTATGCTGATGTTTGAATTTACCCCTTTTTCTTTGGAGACACAGTCTATGGGTTGGATGGCTCTGAGGGACATGCCCAGTATCATCACATTAGTCGAGAACGCTGAAACTGCTGCTGAGGGGATGAGCAGCAGTTAGCAGTTCTAAGAACATGTCAGAATCACTAAGCCCTGGGGTAGATGCGAGCACCTGGCTTCTCGAACACCTGGCTTTGAGTTCTGGCTCCCGACTGCAGCTTCCTGCTCATGTGTGCCCTTGGAAGGTGATGGTGGTGACAAGTAGCTGGCCCTTGCCATCAACATGGGATGGCTGGGTTGAGCTCCCTGACCACAGGGTGTGTTTGGAGAGTGAACCCATGAGTGGGGGCTGATTCTTTGCTTATGTGTCTGACTCTCTGCTTCTAATATGAATAATAAAAGGGGGGGTACTTTGTGCTATTTTGTCTTTGTATTTCCAGAAAGCTATTTCTATAAAAAAAAACTCTATAAAGCTAATTCCTCAGAAGCACCCTACAGGCCCTGAGACCACAGTTACATTCTAGTTGTAAGACCTTCTAGGTCCAGGAAGAAGTTCTCTGTCAAGGAACCCAAGTCCCCGTGTATTGGCTTATGGCTGCCTGGACGAGTGCTTCATGTTGGCTCATGTCCTCAGTGACAGCTGAGGGGTAGGATCAGGATGAGGCTCGGTTGGCTCATGAGATGCCTTCTTGGGAAAATATGTTTATGCGAGAGAGAGAGACAGAAGAGCAAAAACTCCATTTTCTGGTTAATTCTTCAAATGTTTTTTTTATCAACCTCTACTTCTCTTGTGTCCAGTTCTCATGAGTTAGCCATGAGTTAACCATGAGTTAATCTCCATGAGTTAGTCAGTGCTTTCCTGGAAGTACCCAAAATGAGGTCAAGGTTCAGCATCAAGGACAGTGCAAATCCAGGAAGTGCAAATATCTTCTGATTAGGTGGAAAATTTGTTTCACCTGTCTAGATAGCGTGTGTTGGGACTTGGCATGAAGGGAGCATTGGCCCACGGCACTGTGAGAAAACTAAATTCAGGACTGATCTTGTAAGATATGTCATATGGTCTTAGGATCTGACTTCTGGGTCTCCAAAAGACCCTTATGTTCAAAAGTAGCTGTAAGGTAAGATGGTTCTCTAAGACCTAAAATGCTTCTACCAGAAGCTCCATCCTTGGTTTTGTTGTAGGAATGTCAGTGTTTCCCAGCCACGTGCATAGTGGTGGCAGGGGTGGAGGGCAGACTCAGCACAGAGTGATTGAAATAAGAGTACCCCCTCACCCCAAGAGGAAGCTGGTGGGTGAATGCAGGCAGGGAGTGCAGGAAAGGGGAGCACAGCGAGGTAAACCTCACAGCTTGTTCGAGGACAATCATGGATCCCTAAATTCACAAAGTAGAGATGGCTTGGGCACTTGTGAAGGGACAGGTTCCAAGTCCATGTGGCTCCAGGTTTGGTGTCAGGCAGGACCATATTGGCATTTAGTGTCATTCCTGATGCAGGTCTGTGACTCTGGGCAAGTTGCTCTAGGCTCTTTGTTCCAGGCCTTGTTTCGCCCATCAGTAGTTGGGAGGAAGTGCTAGTTGCCAGGATACATGTTAAGAATCACTTGCAATGTAATTTTTAGTGCCTCAAACAGAGGCACTGTAATAGAACCCACCCAGCTCACTCTTCCACTTTATGATGTCCTACAGTAGCTGTCCACCATGTCCCTTTTCCCCTTCACATACACATGTTGACACAAGCAGTGATAGAGGTGAGACGCAACTAATGCTGCCTTGGTCAGTGCTAAGAGTGGAACAGGCAAACTCATGCATGGGCACCCTTGGGAACACTGACTGTAGGGGCACACCTAAGAAATTGGGAACCCCAGGTAGGTTTGCCTGGCTCTTCTCAGCTTTGTTCATTGTCCTGGGGCTCCCGCAGTGGCTAAGTGGCTCCCCTTAATCTGAGCAGGTGCATCCTTTTGCTTGTGGATTCTCATGGGTGTGAGGTTCAAGCCTACATGCAAGGCATGGCAGGGAAGCTCGGTGTGCCCCACAGCCTGTCCTCCTTCACTCCCCTTCCTGTGTGCTGATTGGGAAATGTGACTCTGCCTCACGAGTCTTGCATTTCAGAGTGGGCTTTTCTTGAGGGAGTTTGGGACTGAACTGTAAGAACAGCCTTTGTTATTCACACATCATCTGTTGCTTGGGAGGGCTCCACCACTTTGGGGTTTCAGGTAGTTTGCTTTGCTTCTACACTATCTTTGGTCAGTGTGGGATCTTGGATTCCAGGGTTTGTTTCCTGCTGAGATTTCCTGTACATAAGGGCAGATACATGAAAGTTACAGAAGAATGTCAATATTGCTCTTGTTTTGTGTGCCCAGAGAGGAACTGGAGGTTATTTCTCTAGCCAATACAAGCCAAACTGGGTCACTTCCCAGAGAGCTACTACAAGTGGCCAAGCTGTGACTTCTGCACCTCTGGGTTTTGGTGGAGGATGCTTTTGCGTCTTGGCCCAGAGAGGTGTCCGCCCATGCTGTGGAACTCCCCCACTCCACTCTTGCTTTATCCCTTGACTTTCTCTCTGGAGTCTCGCCCTTGCTAATTGCTGTACTCCAGAGGCTATAGGAAGTTTGGAAGGAATGAATGAGATAGGATAGAATCGTCTGCTTATTTGATATGGATTTCCACTCAGCATTAAAATTGCATACTAATCAATGGATATGTAACCAGGAAACATTATTTTTTTTTGAGACTGGGGTTCCACATGCATGTTTGCATGTTTCTTAATGTTAGTATGTTTAAAGAGTTTGTGTTTGTTTATTCACTTATAGATTGTTTTCTGTGTGAAGAGGCCTTGCCTTGTTGAATAGTAGCTTCAGATCCAAGGTTGACCAGATTTTGTTTGACTGTTGTATGGATATTTACCATATTTTTATTATATTGTATTATGATACCATTCAAATAGTGAACTGATGGGTTTTGTTTGATGAAATGTTTTGGGGATAATTTTAAAAATCAAGAATATACATTTCTAGAACATTTTAACAAGATGAAAATGTAATGGTGTGTCTTAACATGTTTTTCTTCTGGGATAGAACATGGAAGCATTTAAATAAGATACATACAGACAAACCCAAGCCTTACTTCCTTTTTAAGGTGATGATGGTCTTGGTTTGTCTTCTGTGTGGCAATATATGCTTGGGTCATCTCCATTTAAACACAAAGCATGTTCTTCATAATCCTGGAGTTTCATGTTACTGTTCCAGAGATGTTCTAAAGATTGCTCAGTTTTATAATGCCCAATGCTAGCAACCTATTTCATACAAGAATGCCTCTGGAGACCATGTCAAATTACTAATTTGTTATTCTTACTCCGGCAAGACCACATAATCAAGGCATCCATCGAAAGCCTTGAGTTTATTTTGATTTGCTTCACTTTGGGTTTAAATTTACCACCCACAGTTGTCCAAAGCACATACAAGCTTGTGGGTTTGGTCTGTTTGTTTTGCCATCACACTGTGTCTAAGCGCAAACCTGACTGTACTCAAGCTCTTTAGGCTCATGGAAATGAAATGTCACTTGCTTTTTTGTTTCTTTGCTAATACTATCCAAGAACATTTAAATAGTTCATTTTCCCAGTGTGCCGTTGCTGTTGAGTTGATAGTTGCCCTGTTTGTATAGTTGATCACCCACTGAAGCCAAGGCACGTGAAACTGCAGTCCACTAAGATGGGCCTGAAAGTCATGTGGGACCCACCCAAAGATGCTGCCAGTAGACCCGTGGAGCATTACAACATTGCCTATGGGAAGTCACTGAAAACTCTTAAGTACATCAAGGTGAATGCGGAGACATCCTCCTTCCTTATTGAGGATGTGGGTAAGTGACCTGCACAGTGGCTCTCGCACTCTTAGGGTGACTGTTGATGATGCGGTGGGGCTCCGGGTACCTGAGGTCCTCTGGGAACAGGGAACCCACTCCGGAGCCTCTATCAGCCTCTTGCCTCTTGGCTTCATCTTGACCCCTGGGCTTCCCCACTGGTGCCCTAGAGCTTGAGTGTTCCTCAAACATTTTAGTTTTCCGAGTATGCTTTCAGAAACTGACCCCTTTTGTCTCACAGAAAGGTGACCACTGGACAGTTTGGTGGCTCCACCTAGACATTTTTCATTTATGAACCGCTTTCTATTTAGGAAAATTAGTCAATAATATGTTCCTGCAAAGGAGTGTGTTGTAGATCATATTTAGCCACACCTGTTGAAGATGCCACATTTTCCCATTTAAATTCTACTTTAGTTTTATTCTAGAAGATTTCTAGTCTTGCCTCCATATGCTTGCCCTGTAAGGGCCAATGGCGGCGAGCTTGATCTTAGGTGTTTTCCTCTGGAGTCCACTGTTGGACTTCAGTAACCTCTAACTCCACTAGTTCTCCCATCACATCATGTCCAACCTTAAGCTGGACCCTGAGGAAGTAGCAAAAGTTAGCACGTGGGAGAGCAGATCATCTTGACTCAGGGCTCCTCAGGAGGGTCTCCTGGCCATGGAGACCCATAATGCCCCTCCCCAGTGCCTGCATTTTAGTTTATGCCTTCTGGGTGATGGAGTAGAAAGTATATAAAAGAAAGATTAACGAGGACAGATTCCCTTCCCCTGGCTTCAGCCACACGTCTGTTTCCCTGGATGTCTTCCATATCAACGTCAGAAAGAAGGAATGAGCAGGTCACGTTTGTTTGCTCAAACCTTGGGTTGTGGTCATTGCTACAGGCAAGAAAAGCATGTGAAACAAGGGTCACACAGAGCTCACTGGAAAACAAACGGTGTCTTCCCAGCAGCTTTCTGATGAATTAGCCATGTGGAAGTCAGACATACGACTCAATTTCTTTGAAATACAAAGCAGCTCAGTGTGAAGGGGGCAGGTGCCCGGAGAAGCCCAGTTTCTGCCTTCTGTTGGTGCTGGATGAACAGAGAGCATTTCCCACCTGGCCCAGAGCTCTGGGTAAACCCCACTGTCCTTAGGCCAGAGCCGGTCAGGTAACCCAGGGCTGGAGCAGAGCATGTCCTAGCTGAGGCTCTGTTCCTAGATGAAGTCGTGTTAAAGGCATAATCCTTCCTGAGGAATGTAGTCACCAAGACTGCCTTTGACAGAGCTGACAGTGACCTCCGCAACCCTTCCTCCCCTGAATGCCCACAGACTTGTGTCTGTTTCAGGAACAGGCACCCTCACTGATCTGTCACATCATAATTCGTTGTGAGGAAACAGGTGCTCCTAAAATTCTGCTCCTTGAACTGCAAGTTCAGGGTTGTACACTGCAATTTAGTTTTCCTTTTATAGTCTAGCAAAAAAAAAAAAAATCAAGAACTTAAGGATTTCTCTGCCAATTTACCTTGATTGCATCTAGCGGTTAAAAAATGAAACCGAAATGTCAACGTGAACATATCCATATAGTTATTCTTTCTGACTTTGCATTGAAATGTTCAAAAGCAATGAGCAGACACAAGGAAGGAAACTTTTTATTGTGAAAAAGAAAGTTTCCTGAAGCTCCATGCCTTGCCATGAAGACTTTCCATTTGCAAAACTTTATGAGTTAACACTGATGCTTCTTAATTTATTGGAACATTCTTTTTGGAGCATCAGTGGGGAATTATTGTATATTCAAATATTTTGTGGCCAAGACATTCTGAAGAGTCTGAAAAACTCTTTTGCGTTCTTCTTTAGGAGCCCAGGTTTATCACACATGCCACAAGCATTGTCCTAAATAAAGGTTGTGTCTTGAGTCAGTTGTGATTCACCTGTGTGAGAAGTACAATTTTAATATCTGATTTTCATAGTGTAAGGGAGATGCTTAGTGAATCACACTGTGTCGTTCTTGGAGATGTGCGACAGTGGTTTGATACGACCCGTGTGTTTCAGAGCCGGGGGTAGTATACTTTGTGCTGGTTACTGCAGAAAACCCCAGTGGAGTGAGCCGTCCTGTTTACAGAGCTGAGAGCGCGCCTGGTAAGTCTGACCTAGCATTGCGTTAGGAGAAGCGCTCCCCTCCTCCCTTCATCCAGTCAATCTAGACTGTGAATCGCTAAAGGGTTCTTGAACACGAAACTTTATAGTCATCTGCAGCAAGCCGAATGACTGATAACTAGGAGAAACTTGTCCCTACTTTTTAAGTTGTTTTAATGTTGCTGTTAGCTTTTTGCCTGAGTATATTTTGAAGTAAACCACGTCCAAAAGGCCAAAAATACATATTGTCCCTAGTAAAGCTTAGCTGTGGAGTCACAAATGTGACCCCATGGATCCTCGTGCAGGCTATTGAAGAGGTCATCCAAGCGTGTGTTGGGGATGCGTTGAAACATAGAAAATCTGAACGTGCTCATTTCTAACGACCAAGTTGCCTTTCCCTCATTTAGGAGGTGAATGGATCAAGATTGATGCTTTTCCCATTAAGGGTCCAGGACCATTTAATGAGACCGTCACAGGTACCACGTGCGCATTCGTGTTGCCACTGAAGCAGCACCTTGCCAGCGGGTGTGCTTCTGTCACCCACATCTGCTCACAACCTTCAGTCTGTCCCCATGGCTCGACTAACCCACACGCTGCCACCCAGGCTTGGTCAGTGTGTTCCGCACCTGATGAGCCACACTGTGTGGTGCTGCTCATTGTTGCTTGTTGTCCTTTTGTGCTCTCATGTGTCTATAGCCGGGGACACCGCTGCCCTGTTCACAGGCAAATATGGTGGTAGAGATGGCAGTAATGGCCTGAGGAGGGTGTGTATAGCTCTTTCACTGTGAATGGCATAAATGAATGGGACCCACAAAACAGGGAAGTCTATTGGCTGATAGGTTGTACCAAGTGCTGCTCTGTTTTCTTACAACTTTGGGATATTTTGTGATATGTTAGACAACCTGGCTTCCATCTCTGATCCATATTTGTGTATATGTGTGTTTTACCATTTGGATGTTGACGTTGTCTGGTCATATTGTTCTTTTCATTGAGAGAAGCATTGACAGTTCTTGTGTATTTCTTGAATATGTTTAACTAATGGTGGAAGCAATAATGCAAAATGAATGCAACTATTTCAGAGCGTAGTTGGGTAATATGCCTCAAGTGAGAGGGCCAGGAGCTGTTTTGTTTTCTTGTGCTTAACCATGTCAACCTGGTGTTCTTACAGAGAGGAAGGTGAGTATGTTGAAACCAAGGACCATCGTCTGCTTCCAAGACAAATTGGGATGGGTGGAGATGGTTTTCTTTTCACTTGATAAGGGTGTAGAACAAAACCACGAATAAAGAATACTGAATTTCTGGAAGCGGTGATAAGTTCTTGTTGAAGTACACTGGACTTGAGGTAACCATGGGGAATTAGAGTGGGCATGTTTGTAGGTGGGTGGAAATGAGGAATGGAAGTTGGAAGAAGGAAGTAAGAGCTGCGCATAGATTTAGCAGTCATGCTGTCAAGTGAGAGTGGTAGGTGAGGGTCAAACCTTGGAAAGCATTGACGTGCAAACACCCCTGCCTTGTCTGCCATGGAGTGCATGAAGCTAGTACAGATTGTGTGGGTATATACACACGTATACGTATATGTATGTGTAGTGTTTTTTCTGTGTTTACATATGTGGGATAATGTCTGTAAATTAGGCATGGTAAGAGATTAACAACAAGGGAACAGCTAGAACAAAGTACTGTGGAAGTTCTGTGCTGGTGGTTTTTCTCCGTGTCTCAGAAGAGCTGGGTGAGTTGCATTCACTCTGCCTGTTCACGATTCAGTGCCTACCTGTTGAGATGCAGTGGAGGTGCTTGGACCAAGGCACAGGGACAGTGTGGCAGTCAATCAATGTTTGTGGAAATGGTTCCTAAGTAATGAACTAGTGGGTAGTGCAATATGCCATGGTTATGAGGAACAAACAGAGTCATATGGGTGTGACTGAGCAGGGCAATGTGAGATTTCATCACAGTATTCAGAATAGGCAACAATGTAAAACTTACCAATTGCTTGTTTCTGTAGCTTTCCATTTAATATTTTTTGATTGTTGTTGATTGTCAGCAGTGAATACTCAGCAAGGGTAATTGGGTAATAGGGGCTACTGTACTCTTAGGAAATGCTTAAAATAAGAAAGGATGTTTATTCAAGGGCTGTTTGAAAACATGAATATAAGCAAACATGCATGAGCCTTCTACTTATGCATGTAGGATATGGTAACTCTTGTATGCTATATTTTAAATGTTCATTTTATTTCATAATCATCCTGATAGTTTCCTAGGCAACCTTAGTTTTAAAACAAGTTAGTACTTTTCTTATGTTTTCTTTATCAGAAATGTGTGTGAGAAGCCTTTTTCAGGAGCCAGGTATTACAGACACCCTGGGTGTGGGGTCCCTCAGCCAAAGCTGCACCTGTTACTGTGTGATGTTGAAATTATGGAGCCTCACTCTACCGGAGCCCCTGTATGTCCGGCAGTCCAACTGCTCAACTGTAGCACCTCACACTCCATTTGTCATGTGTTGTTAACAACAAAGACGCTGCAGAAGTTTTTGGCAGATATCACTTGTATGCTGTGAAGCAAAACTGAAACACACCAAGCCTCATGAAAACTCCAATTACATAGACTTGGTTAAAACCTCCAAGAAAAAACAAAATCACATTTCATTGTCAGTGAAAGTGATGGGAATCATTTATGAGAAAATATGTTATTGAGTGAGAAATGTATTACAAATGTACTGTAGTTCATGGAAAATTGGATGAAAGATGGGTTTATTTTGGAGCAAAAAAAAAAAAAAAGTTGAAATCCCTGGATAGTGTTTTTGTAGCATTCATTTCCTGTAAGCTCTCAAGTACTCTTGCATTCTGTGCAGTTGTTGTAAGAAGTGGTTTAACACATGATAATTTTGTCAAGCAAGTGGAGTCTTTAGAATCCCACGTATTTTTATTTGAAGGAGCATGTCCCTCATACAGGCAGTGGAGTATGGGCACCTTGTGGGGAGCTCTAGAGGGTCTGCTTGAGGGCTTTGATTTCATCGCATGTGCTTTTGGGATTTTATTTAGAACCAGAGGAAAATCCATCCTCAGACCTGTCTGGGCTCTATCTAATGATAGAACTTTAGTCGTTTAATTAAATACTTTGGGTTTCCCAGTGACAGGTCTCAGACTTACAATGATGAACAGAGACTCATCTTATCCAAGCTCGCATTTCGATGTGGAAAAAACAATAATCAAGGGAGCAAAAAATGCACAGGGGCCGGCATTGTGGTGTGTCAGGTTACGCCACTCCAATGCTGACATCACATATGTTCCAGTTTGGGCTGTGGCTCCTCCACTTCCAATCCAACTCCCTGCTAACGCGCCTGGGGAAAGCTGGTGGAGATGGCCCAAGTGCTTGGGCCTCTGCATCCACATGGGAGACAGGATGGCGTTCCAGGCTCTTGGCTTTGGCCTGGCCCAGTCCTGACTTTTGTGGCCAATTAGGGAGTGAGCCAGTGGATGGAAGATCTCTCTGTTTTTCTGACTTTCACATTTAAATAAAAGCATAAAGCATCTGCAAAAATGCACAGACTCTATTAGCTTGTTGGAGTGGCCCTAACTACAGGCTGCTTGGTGCCTAAAATAGCACAAATATAGTTCTTGTGGTTCCGAAAGCTCTAAATCAAGGTGTTAGCAGGGCTGGTTTGCCTTCAGTCCTTTCTGCCTGGCTGGCTGGTGGTGCCTTCTTGATAACCTTCGTGAGGCCTTTCCTCTCTCTGTGTGTATCTGTGGGGTCTTTGAACGTAAGGACAGCAGTCAACTTGCAGTAGAGCACCCCTTGCAGCCCCATTCAAACATCATCACTTCTTGAACTCCCTTTTCAGACATAGGCACATTCTGAGGCGGGAAGTTAGGGTTTTCACATATGGATCTTCAGGGCAGACACGATGAAGCCTAAACACTGATTCCTTGAAAAACAAGCAGCCCAATTATATAGAGTAAGCAGATGGGAGAGAGAGCTGGGGTTTCTGTAGCCTAGTGGCAAGGGGATGGCACTGAGTTGAGACCAAGCAGAGCTGACAAGGGTGAAGGCTGGGGAGGCACATGCCAACAATGAGTCCTGAAAGTCAGACTGGACTTACGTGGGTCTAAGATGGGATGTTTGTCCCAGTACAGAAACTAAAGGCTCAGGAAGTGATAGGACTAAACAAAAATGCAACTCCGGGGGCAGAATGGGTAAAGTCTCTGCCTGCTGTAAAGTCCCGCAGAGGTGCTGGTTCCAGCCTTGGCTGCCCTACTTCCAATCCATCTTCCTGATAATGTGCCTGGGAAAGCAGCAGAAGATGGTCCAAGTGCTTGGGCCCCTGAATCCATGTGGGAGACCTGGAAGGAGTTCCTGTCTTCCGGCTTCCTACCTGGCACAGCCCTGGCTGTTGCGCCCATTTGGGGAGTGAACCCGCATGTAGGAAGACTTCTCTCTAAGTTTGCCTATCAAATCAGTTAATTTAAATCTTGCGTTTAAAATGCAACTCCGAAGTAGGCATTTGGCTTCCCTGCGTGTAGCTCGCCCCGTCTCTCTGAGTTGTCTCTTCATGGAGAGCTGACTCCATCTCTCTGTGAGGCAAGCGTTTGTCCTGCCGATCTCTCCCTGGGGATGAAGGGGCGCAGGCCATGCAGATTTTTCATTTTTAAAAAATTGTTATTATTATTTTCCATGATACCGTTTTGTAGCTATAGAGATCCCTCTTTGTACCTCCCCCTTCCCCATTCCTCCCAACCCTACTATTTTCCCCATATTATCACAATTGCATAGTCCATCAGCAACAGTGACAAGTCCAACATTCTACTTTTTCAGTGTGTCATGCCATTGTAGGCATTGGCAGTGGTGGGAAATCCAGCGCCACATTGTCAAGCAGGATATGGCTGTCAAGCCTCTCTGTGGACTCTTCAATGAGTTGTTTTGGCTTTTTTCCTGCCTGGGCAGAGGACCCTGAGGTCCTCAGGGTCAGGACAGGGACACACCCCAGCCGTGCTCCGGGCCAGACATGGGACTCAGCGGGGCCAGCTATTCTGCTTCCACCAGCCTCTACCAGCCTCCACCTGGGAGCCAACGCCAGATTCTGGCTGATTTCAGCTCTGTACATACTCATCTTTGTTTTTAACCATTTTCATTGTTGTCTAAAACTCAAGTGCTCTTTGCTTTTCTCACACCCTGAGTCACCAATGTCTCATTCCCAAATCTGTTGACTGATAAGCACAAGTCTCCATATTGTTCACCGCTGGGCATCTGTTTCAGGCTCCAGGCCCTGGCCTCAACCACAGCAACTCTATTGCTAGCAAGCACTGTCTTCTTACTACCTCTCAGATTTCGCATCTATAAGGAAGCAGTATTCCATAAGATTGCTTCCCAACAATTGAGGATGTAAAGTTATTCTTGAATTTTTCTAAGTTTCAGCTTGGAAATTTCATGAAGCTATTACACTAAGTGTACCCCAATGATGCTAAGCTCTGTGAACTGGGACTCA